TCCCCTGCTCCCAAAGTACTGGGGATGGATCCAGGGGAGTTTTACCCGTGAGGTACATCCTCAGCCTTCAAATGTTTAGACAGGGTCTAAGTTGTTGATCCTTCTGTTTTGGCCTTCAGTTGCTGGGATTACAGGTGTGTGACACCATGCCTGACTCAACCATTTTTAAGTTGAAATATACATAACTGATTGTCATTACCACTGCTAAATGTTTTTTGAAAAACCAAATGAGAATCCCATAATTCTAGAACATTTTGATGAAAACTGATATGACTATGGAGGTACAAAAGAAACTCAAAATATACAGGCGTTAGATTTCTTGCAACAAATTTTGAGCAGTACATTTCATTAACTTCTCCCACTCTTCCTATTTAAAGCATTTCAGCGAGTGACCTTCCTTGTCTCAGAAAGCTTTTCAAACCATGGGAAGGTACTCTTGGGAATGATATGCACGTTCTTATAAAATGTACTTTTCATATCCTCACATTTATTAAAATAGTAGAAAAAAATAATTTTAGTTGCACACAGTGGTGCACATCTGTAATCCCAGTGGCTCAGGAGGCCAACGAAGGAGAATCATAAGTTCAGGGCCAGTCCCAGCAACATGGCAAGATCTTGTCTCAAAATATAAAAAAAATATATAATAACAAGTGGTAAAGCACCTTTGGGGTTCAATTCCCAGTACTGTTACAAAACAAAAACAAGATATTAATTCTAATTTGAAACACTTTTATATTATGATGGAACAGTTAGTGGTATTTTATTCAAATTTGCAGAAAAATTTGAACCAGAAGCATATTTCCAATTTTTTTGTACACGCTTTTTCTTATCCCTGGCACAGGAATAGATTTGTATTCTCTATAGTTTATTATTAACACAGTTTCAGAATTAAAATGTGTTTACCTACACTTTTTTTTTAATACTTACCTTAGAAGTTTTGGGGGCTGGGAGAGAAGGGGATATTTTTGATATTTCTTTGAGGACTTAGAATGCAGGGGAGGTTAACCACTGTGCCACATCCTCAGCCATTTTTGTATTTATTTTGATACAGGGTCTAAGTTGTTGAAGCTGGCCTCAAACTTGCAATCCTCCTACCTTAGCCTCCCAAGTCACTGGGATTACTGGTGTATGCTACCATGCCTCCTAGATGAAGTTGATTTCAAATTATCTGATTTTAACATTATCTGTTCAGTTCCTCTATTTTAAGTTCTAAAGTTCCTCAGCATAGTATTATTCCCTTTTATAGATATCCAAAGGAAGTAATTGTTTGGTGTTAAGGCCCTTTAAATAACTTTTTATTTTTAAGGAATTCTCTCTCCCTTTGGGAAAAACAAAAAGCAAAACCAAAAAAACTTTCCACATCACAAAAACGATATGTGCTTATTTATAATCAAACATTAATATCCTTCCACCCCAATAAGTTTATCTCTTACCCGAGGAACCAGTGATAAGTGTAGCATATATTTTATTTTAGTGAGTCTGTTCACATTATACGATAACCTTTATCCTCTGTGAACAACTTTTTAGCTCATTAAATATTCACCTACATTATTTTAAACAGATATACAGTATTCTATTCAGCATGTTATTTTAGCAGCCTTTTATTACTGGGCACTTAAATACATTTTTCCAATCTTTTAAGAACACTATAAAAATACATGGAATACTTTTTACAAGAACATATTTATTAAGCTAAAATCATAAACATATTATAGCCGGCTCATACGTAACTAACACACAAAGAGAAAAAACTATATCAACTTTATCACTTGTCAAAATAAATCAGTATATTAACTTTGTGACTTAATATTTAGGCAGGTGTTTTGAAGTTGTCTTAGTCCGTCTGCTTGTCTTCATTTTGTTTCTTAAATTTTTATTCATATTGTTAGTACATTTAAAAGGTTAACATGTACAAATAAACAAGGCACAATTAATGACAGAAGTGTTATAGTCCTTAGGTACAATAAGGAACAGAAAAAGGTTAAGTTACAAATATAAAGCTGGATGCAATGGTATATGCTGGTAATCCCAGCTACTTGGAGGCTGAGGCAGGAGGATCTCAATTTCAAGGACTACCCGGGCAACAGTGCTATAATGTCTCAAAAAACACAAAACAAAAACTATAGACATAAATTGTGCATACTATGAGAAGAATGGCTAATGCCAGATTGTCAAAAGTCAAGAAATACTTGGCATACATGAGAGATTTAACATTTAAAAAAGGTACCAGAATAAGCTGGGGGAGAACTAAAGTAGTATAATGGCATTAAAAAAAGGCACAGAAGAAGAAAACTGAATGGATTAGAATTAGTTCATTTGAAGAAAAAGTTAACTTAGAAAACACTGAGGTAAGATCATGAGATACCAAGCTAAGGAGTTTGAATTTTATAATATAGGAAGAGGTGTTTTAGGTTAAATTAGTGGTATATATTAACGATGATGAAATTGTTAGACTGAAATAATTAGAGGCAAAGAATTTCTCAGCTGAAAAGTTGTTGAAGAAAATAAGTGAGAAATAATAAAGTACTTAATGGCAGTAGCAATTCTAAGGCTGGATGAATCAAAGATGAATGTGGTTTGTTTGGGTAGATGACAAATATGGACAAATTTAATGTCCCTTGGATCCATTAGTTTTGACTCCAGATAAACTGATGAAATGGAAAATAATTTGTGTCATCAAAGCAAAATTCATTAAATCCTGATAATCATACACATACCTATTAACCACGCACATTGTTTGTACTCTAAATGGTCTCAGATGGAGATTACAATCTTGAATCATATTCATAAGAATGTTCTGTCCAATCGGCAAAAGTTCAATAGGCAGAGGCACATACAACTATCAAAGTTGTCTCGAAAGAATTATGAAAAACTGAATTTTAAGATTAAGAGGTACTAGGGATGGAACCCAGGAGTGCTCAACTCAGCCACATCCCCAACCTTTTTTTTGTATTTTATTTAGAGACAGGGTCTTGCTGTGTTGCTTTGGGCCTTGCTGAGTTTCTGAGGCTGGCTTTTGTACTCACAATCCTCCTGCCTTAGCCCCCTGCGCTGCTGGGATTACAGGCATTGTACACCACACTTGGCTTTTAAGTTAGAATCTTGAACAGATGTAAGATCTGACTTTTATAAACTTTTTGATGCTATTAGCTACTATTCCCCTCCTTGGCTCATAATCACATAATACTTTCTTGCTGTTCCTTTACCCACAAAAAATTCATCAGCCTCAAGATCTTTGTTGCTTGTTATTTTATCAGCTTGAATGGTCTTTCCTGGAGATCATTTTATTTTGTTTAAATGTTATCTCTGGGAGATATCTTCTTACATATTATTTAAAACAGACTTCTCCTGATTTCCAAACACCTTTATTGCATTATTCCCATCTTCCCTGCTTTATTTTCTTCAGAAAACTTATAACTGTCTGACAAATCACATAAAGTGTACCAATTTTCTATTCCATTAATTATCTGCTATCCTCAAGATTTTAAGTTTCCTAAGGGCTGAAATTTGCTTTGTTCTGTGATCATCTTTAGCACCCAAATAGTAGAATAAATTTCTACAGCTATGTCAGTATTCCAAACCTACTTAACTATTTTTAATGTTGTTTTCAATATTAGCATTCTGACACTTCCAGAAAATATATGGAAACATAAACACTGACATAAACCTCTGAAGTCTAAGTTAAAAATTACAAATTCTCTTAAGAAATGATGTACTTGATATCATGTGCATGTACAAATATGTAGCAACAAATTCCATCAGTATGTACAACTATAAATAAAAAAATATGGGGAAATGAAAAAAGAAATGATGCACTTAAACTTTCTCTATTTATACTATGGAACAGCATATACTAGACAAACTTCATTGTTTCATACTAATGTGGTATTTTAGTTTTTTGTTTTTTTTTTTGGTACCAGAGATTGAACCCAGAAATGCTTCACCACGGAGTCACATCCCCAGCCCCCTTTTAAAAATCTTTTTATTTTGAGGCAGGGTACTGCTAAATTGCTTAGGGCCTTACTAAGTTACTGAAGCCGGCTTTGAACTGAAGATCTTGCTGCCACCATGCTCAGTTCTAATCTTGTATTTTTTAAATTTAATTTTATTTATTTATATGTGGTGCTGAGGATCGAACCCAGGCCTTGCATGTGCCAGGCAAGCACTTGACCACTGAGCCACATCCCCAGCCCTATTTTGTATTTTATTTTGAGACAGGTCTCACTGAGTTGCCTCCCAAATTGCTAAGAACATCCATGCTAAGTATATAAAAGAAACTTAGTATACATTCAGTAGTAAGCTAATCAGGTCAAGGCACATTTAGTATAAAAATAACTTAAAAATTTTTCTTGTTTTGGTCTGGAGGTGTAGTTTAGCGATTCAATACTTGTTTAGCATGCCAAAGGTTCTTGGTTGATCCCCATAAAATACATGCTTACAGAAAGAAAAAGAAATCAATTTTTCAGCAGAATATCTCAAAATCTGATGCTATGTATAAGATTGCTATAAATAATAAGATTCTTTGGGAAGTTTATATCTTTTCAAAATATAAAAGTCCTATCATATGAACACAATATTCAAAGTCCTATAGAATTAGGGAGGATCTGAAGTTATCAATATGCTAACCTAATATTCATGAAGTTTTTGCATGATTTCCATGTATTAATAATTAATAAATAAACCCAAGTAAAAATTATAAATGTTGCATTTAATTTCAGCACAATAAAAATAAAACCAGCAACTAACTAGTCATCTTACACAGTAATCATAACTTAAAAGATTTAAACATTCATTTCATCAAAATATTTTTCATTGCATACAGCCTCAAAAAATATTAGAGGGCTGGAATGTAGTTGAGTGGTAGTGTGTTTGCCTAGTATGAGGCACTGGGCTTGATTTTGAACAATGTAAAAAAAAAAAAAGAGAGAAAAAGGAAAAAAAAGAGAAAGAATAGAAATATCTGGATTATATTTTATAAAATAAACAAGGCGAGAACCTTAGTGCTGGTGAGGGGGTTAGTTCTGCATTAAAGGGGCTCAAGCTATTAGTAACAAGTTATAAAAGAAAAAATCCTTTGATAAAAGAAAATAAAACTTTTTAGTAGATAGGAATATACTGATGATCTCTTCTTCTCTCAGATATGTGATATATCTAAATACTTACTATTGCCAAATCTATCTCAAAAATTTAGGACAATAATTTTTCTCCTTTTTGATAATACTCAATGAGAAACAACACTTAGAATAAAACATTTTCCATGAGGAAGGGATAGTAATATCCACCTGCAAAAGGAAAAGAAATTTTTGATTTAGAATGTCAACTTCTAAACAAATATATACATGAACTTAGAGATAAAGTATAATCTTGCAAATCCAAGTATGGCTAACATGTGCATATTATTAGTAATGCTATTCAGTGGCTTAAAAACACTTTTAACTATAATAATAGAGGGATAAAAAGGCAAAATTTGTCTTTTAAGATGAGAGTTTTGTCTTACATTATAGACTTTGCCTTCAAATTAGAATGAAAACAGAAGGATTTTACTCATTGACAATTCCTCAAAACCTGAAATATTTTTAGGATTTTAAAAATAGATAATTATTATTGGAAGTAATTCACTAAGAACTGCTTTTATTGTATATTTATTGTCTGGTTAAAATGGAAAGGGTAAAATGTTCCTTGAAGAAAAAACACAGAATTATGATACATTGCATAGTTACTTAAATTATACTAAACATCATTTTTAAATGACTTCAAATATAACAAACAGAAATATAAGGTAAAGATTATTTTCCTTTAAATCGTAATTAAAGTATTTTGACTTATTTACACAGTTATAAATAACTAAATTACAATTTGGTCTTACTCTGAAGTTAAATATTGGATATAAAAATGTACAGAAGATCTTCACATTTTCAACTCGTCAAAAATCTTCAGCTAAGGATTTAAGAAAACATTTTAGTAAAAACAAGAAAAAACAGCAGTCTATTATAAAGACATGGGATTTGAATTCTAATCTGTCATCTGCTGCTAATTAATTTGTTTCCTCAGCTACCCAATGAATAGATTGATCATCTATAAGGTTGTTCCTACCTTTCAAGTTATGATTAGTGCATTTTGAAACTTAGATGTTCAGGAATTTAGTTTACATTTTTGATGTTTTTCCCCCTTCAAATTAATAATGAAATATTTAGAAGCATTACTAAAACTTATTTTAGGGGTGTGTGTGTGTGTGTGTGTATTTGGTACTGGGGACTGAATACCAGGCTGTTGAGTATGCTAAGCAAGACTTCTACCCCTGAGCTATATCCCCAGTCCAATAAACTTTGTGAGATAAGCAAATAGCTAACATAAGTTTTAATCAAGGGAAAAAACAATATTTGGCCTATCTTATGTCCATCAAAAAAATTTCTCTGATGCTCCCTAAAGCTTTATTTATTTATTGGTACCAGGGATTGAACTCAGGGGTGCTTAACTATTGAGCCACATCTCCAGCCCTTTTTAATGTTTTATTTAGAGACAGGGCCTCACTAAGTTAGTGAGGCTGGCTTTGAATCCATGATCCTCCAGCCTCCCAAACTACTGGGATTATAGATGTGCCACTATGCCCAGCACTGCTTAAACTCTTTTGAAAGAATTTTTGTTCCCCTCCCCCAGTACCAGGGTTTAAACCCTGGTCCATGCCTACAAGCCAAACCCTTAGCCCTCAGGAAACTATTGATGCCATTTAACACAATTATTAAATTGCAATTAAAGCCAGCACTCCTTGTCTGTGGGTTCTGCATCTGTGGCCTCAACCAACCATGGATTAAAAATATTTTTGGGAAAAATATATCTGCATGAATTTTTCTCTTCGTTCCTCTTGTCATTCCCTAGACAATAAAACTATTTACATATACACTGTATTAGGTATTTTAAGTAATATAGAGATGATTTAAAGTATACAGGGGAATATGCACAGATTATATGCAAGATACTGTACTATTTTATATAAAATAATTGAGCATCTGCAGATTTTGGTATTCACAGGGGTCCTGGATCCAATCCCTAATGGATACTAAGGGTCAATAGTATACTATTTTAATAGAATTAATGCATGTAGAAAGTTATTAATATTTTTACAGAACCACATTAATCATAATATTATCAATAATGAAAACATTATCACTAAAACTATAAAAAAAACCCCACAATTGTAGAGTATGGCCAACCTTACTTCAGCAGCACAGTTAATACTGGAGATAATTTTAGAATCTTAACGCCAATATTTACGTGCTGCTAAGGCACTGTTGACATTACTGTCATAAGAGCTATAAATAGAAAGAAATTTATTTTCTTCGGAAGATCAGATCCTTGTATTTTTGAGGCAGCACAATATGGCCTGCACCTTTTCAAAATCCACAAACCATTATGTGCTGCTACTTTACTCCAAGGTTTTTTTTTTAGACAAAAACAAAAACAAAAACCACACATTAGCACCTAAATAAAAAAAGAATCCTTTTAGAAGAGAATACATTTTAAAAATCCATGTTTAAAGAATAAAACATTTGTATTATGTGCATAATTAGTTGTTTTTAAAAGCTTTTAAGTAGAATAAAGTTTATCTCTACATCAAAATTTCAATAAAATCCTTCTATATGCCCAACACAGTGCTGTAATAGGAAATACAAAGATGATAATAGAAAAAGAAATGGATTTTCTTTTTTAACTGTGCCAACTTAATAAGGAAATACAGGTAAATATTCAGTAAAACTTCTCAATGTATTCAATATATTAAGTTCTTTTTTTCCGGTACTGGGAATTGAACCCAAGGGCACTTAACAACTGAGTCACATCCCCAGCCAGTTTTTTATTTTGAGACAGGGTCTTGCTAAGTTGCTTAAGGCCTCTCTAAATTGTGGAGACTGACTTGGACTTGCAGTCCTTTTGCTTCAGTCTCCCAGTTTTCTGGAATTATAGGCATGAGTCACCCTGGCTCCTATTTTTTCCTTTTATAAGTAAAACAGTTAATTTGTAAAAATTGATCTTCACCTTGATAAGAGCAGAATTTACAAATAGCATTTTGTTCCTTGTAGTATATCTTTCAAAAGAAATGTTTATCAGGGTAGATAAGACTTCATGTCAAGAGAAAAACATGAAATGACATGCAAGAGCTCAGTTTCAATAAACTTAAGATAGAAAAATGCAAATTCACTTCCAAAGAAAAAAGACCAGGAGTCACATAAAATAACTAATTCTAAATACAGTAAAAATATACAAAGCCCCAAATAAATCAAATTCTCCCTTAATGTTAGTTTTAAAAAATGTTAAAAATTAATTCTCAATATTTATTGCCATATTAAAATAATTATTCTGAGTTATATATCATTTGATATAATGATCACCTAAAATATGAAGCCTTGGAGATGTATTAACTTGGTATCCTGAAAGGAGATATGAAACAAGAAATACTGTAGCTGTTAATCTACCTATGCCTTACCTATCTCTAGAAACTCCATTCACCAGGCAAGAAAGCATATGCCCAAAGAGTTTCCACTTAGATCTAAGAATTACTTTCTAAAGATACCAAAAAACCATCACTATCTCAAGCCTCAATAACCATTTTCCCCTCAATTTTCTCATTAAAATGACTATGCTTGTAAAGCTACACTATTTCTATTACAGAATAAGGTTTATGTGCACAACCACAGCACTGATTTGTCCCTCCATTATAATATTTAGTTCTTTATACAAAGCACTGTCAAAAATTCCATGTTTTGTATTTTCCTCATTGTCAAAAAAGTAAATCTAACTAATCCCATAACTAAGAAACTAGTGCTTCACATATTTCGATTTTTGTCTCAAGTTTCTACACATTTAAAAAATGTAACCAAAATAGATCTATTCCCAATGACTTGCAACAAATATTTACATTTATCAATCACATAAAGGAAATTTATGCTTTCCTCATACCCATTTTCCAGATAAAATTTAAACATATTTTCAAATATTATATCTACATAACTTTTTTCATTAAACAAATATTTTATTGAATATCTACCATGTGCCAGGCACTGCCCTAGTTGTTATACTAGTTTACCAAAATATAGTCTCCTCTCAGTGTTGGCTAACCTTGTGAGATGGTCTCAATAAACAAACAAATAAATAAAATAAAAGGGCTAGGGATGTGGCTCAATGGTAAAGCATCTCTGGGTTCAACTCCCAGAATAAAAACAACGACAAAAACCCAACAAGAAAAAAAGAGTTTAAAGTCATTAAGTATAAGGCACAAAATCATGAAATAAGTGAAAAATTGTTCTTCAAGACAAGAGACTGCTTTTTGTCTCCATATAGTATATATATACATTAAATGATCATTCAAAAATCAAGAATCAATTGGGTCATTTTAATTCCAATTCTTTTTTTGAGTGTGTGCAAAGTCCATATATATATTCAATTAACCCAAAAGCACCAAAATTGAAAGAAATAAATATAAATGTTCATGTTAATGTCAATGTTTTATAAGCTTTAAAAAATATTTCACAGGAAGAATGTTCTCACTACTTTTTAAAACTGTGGTTAAATAACACATCAAAGTTACCAATTTAACTATTTAAAGGTACATAATTCTGGGGCTGGGATTGTGGCTCGGTGGCAGAGTGCTTGTCTCGCACATATAAGGTACTGGGTTCGATCTTCAGCACCACAGAAAAATAAATAAATAAAATAAAGGTATTGTGTTCATTTAAAACTAAAAAAAAAATTGCATAATTCTGTGGCATTAAGAACACTCATGCCAGATGTGGGTGGCATATGCCTATAATCCCAGTGGCTCGGGAGGCTGAGGCCCTAAAAAATTTAGCAAGACCCTGTCTCAAAATAAAAAGGACTGGAAATGTGGCACAGTGGTTAAGTGCCCCCTGGGTTCAATCCCTGTTACCTCTCACCCAAACCGAACAAACAAAAAAAACAATTACATTACTGTGCAGTCACTGTCACCCTCCATCTCCAAAACTTTTTCATATTCCCCAATACTGTGTACATTAAACACTAACTGTCCATCACTCCTGACTCTTAGCCCCAAAAAATCTTCATTCTACTTCTATCTCTATGAATTTGACTATTCTAAGTACTTCATATAATTAGAATACAGTATTTGTCCTTTTATATGTGGGATTTTATACTACATACAACTTTTTCAAGGTTCATTTATGTTGAAGCATGTATCAGAATCTTTCCTTTTTATAGCATTCCATCTTATGCATATGCTATATTGTTTGTCCATTCATCTGATAAGACATTT